TATACATGAATGAACAGTAATCAAATAAAGGACGCACACAAACCTTGTACAACAGAATTCTGGACTCATTTCTGTAAAAGTTCCTGAGTAGAAAGCCGATAAGTCTGCGTGACTTTGACACTTGTTTGGAGATATGTTCAGAAAATGATAAGTCAGGTGAGTATTTCAGTCCTAGGTCCAATACAGATTCCAGTCGTAAAAGTGCATGGCCTTGAATTGTCAGGTCAAGTTCTAAATTGTTGCAACCTATGCAGAGCCATTGATTCCAATATGTCAAGAATTCCAATTAGGCATGTTCATAATCGGATTTGTAAACATAATCCTGCCTAGTTAAGCAAGGAATTAACAAGTTCTATTCATAGCTTTGTTTTTAGCTCACCGTTTATTCGCTAAGGTTAACGAGGCATTTTTTTAATGTTCCCTCGTAATCTGGTCAATTCTAATTTTTGCTCTACGAGTTCTCCTTCTGCCTAAAGAAATTGAATTTATGTGTGTTCAGAAAGAATTCAGGCAGTCATTTTCCCTCACCGTGGTTAACATCGCTTAAATGTTAAAGTCTGATAATTTCGCCTTCAGCCTTAAATCATTTATAAGTTATAATTGTTTTAAATACTTTAGACTTTTCTTGGTCATCTCAAATTTTGTCAATTTCTAGTTAAATGTTCCGTCTAACCACCTACTACATTAAGAAGTTAGGGCAATCACGTAGGTGTCCTTTACTTTTACAGTTTTTGTACATGAGGTGTGTCAAGTTTAGATAATTAATCAGGTAATGCAAGAGTGATATAATGTAGCAACAAAGTTAATTAGACAGCAACTAAAGTAAGCTTGAGTTTGTAACTTAGATGTAATATAATTGACTGAAATGTTTCAACTTAGGTCACGGTAGCAACATAGGTACTTATAGGTAGAGACCAAGTAGAGGTGAGGTAGAGAATAATGCCATTTAAATTAGGACTAAAAGTGAGCAAATAGTTTGGATGACACAGCATACTTGACTAGAAATTGAGCGTTAGTCAAGTGAGTAACGGTGGTAATGAGGTGCAGAAATTGAATCGGGTCGCCAATCGGTGTTTTGGTTTTGCGTCCGTTAGTACTAAGCGTTTTTGAAATATTTCGGGAGACAGCGAAAGGCCCAGCGTAGCAAGAGCTAGGCATTAACGGTTTTTGTGACGTGTTGGACAATCACAAGTACTGTTTTCGGAATAAAGTAAATCATTATTATTTTTAGCAACCCCACACCGCTAAATCTAAAAAACTGCCAGAGAAATTTCAACGTACGGAAAATATATTAAAAATACAAAAAATTCAAATGACAACAATCTGATTCTTCGCCTGAATCGGACAGGCGGAATGATGTGGGCTGCCGAGTCTTCCCGTAGCCAGTCAGTCGATGATTCTTCTCTCGAAGAAGGCAAATATAAGAATGGGGAAGTGGAATGTCAGTACAATTTACGAAACTGGGAATGGATATTGACCGTCAAAATTGTCAACTGGTGAGCCACTAATCTACCCCTGCCTGGTCATCCAAGCGACATCCACGAGCACACTGAGTGGCTGTCATGATGTCATCAAAAATGGGCAAAGTTCTAGTGCAGTGGGAGCAAATTTCATCCGGGGTGACGACAGCAAGATTCAAATGAAATTAGAAGGAAGGCAAAAACCATACAGCGTTACGCACAGTGCTACGAACACCGCGAAACAGGAGAAGAAGGAAGAATTTTACAGACAATTGCAAACAATGATGGACAACATCCAAAATGGTGACATAAAATTCCTCACTGGCGATATGAATAACCATTCGAAGTGAAAACAGAAAATACAGGAAGAGAACTCATCATGGCTCGAGAGGCTCTCGCCCGGAAAAATGAACGAGTACGGAGAATTATTCGCAGACTTCTGAGGCTTCAATCATCCGGTGATCACATGCAGCGTGTACAAGCACAAGGATATATACAGCGCCAGCGTCACGGATTTCAACTGACGGACACACCATGAACCAGACAGACTTCATTCCGATGTTGCTCAAGGAAGTGAAGACGCAGCCTGACTGCTGGACGCAAAGTCGAAAAAAGATGCAGATGTGGGTTCAGACCATCATCTAGTCCAAGGAACCTACAAGGTGAAGCTGAAATCCTTCAGAACAACTAAAGAAACTCTGCGTTTCCGGTCGAGCATCGCTCATAGGACCGCCTGCCAGTTGACACCAGCCCCCCAACGAGAGCTGAAGTCCTGAATGAAATCAGGCTACTGAAGAGCCAGTCGGGAAGGCAGCAGATCCATACAGACAACCCCCAGGTGCACTGAAAACGTACACACAGACTGACACAGATGTCTTCATGTCATGAATACAAGAGGCTTGCAACGAAGGAAAAGCGCCTACCGATTGCAAGAAAGGCTGGCTACCTTGCCAAGATGCCAAAGCAGGGCGTGTGCAGGATCTGATATGGAATAATGCTCTTCTCTATTGCAAAGTAAAATCCTAAGTTGCATCATTCTGAACAGAATAAAAATGCACTGGATACAGAACCCCACCACCCACCGGAGTAACTGGATTCAGAAGAAGCAAACCGCGTGCTGATAAAATCGCAACTCTGTGCATCATCACAGAATGGCGGTCAAACATCTCTCCACCCCAACTTTTATTTTTTTTGATTTACAGCTTGATTCCACACTGTATTTTCGGTACAAGTATGGAATTTTCAGCATGGATATCGGTAGCCCAAATTTTGCAGGCCGACCATAGATATCAGATGTGCGTCGGTGCGGGCTCGAACCCCGGACCATGTGCATGGTCAACGAGAGTCCTAACCAATGTGCCACCGACGCATTTCATCCACTCCAAAAAGTCCTTCGACAGACAGCGTTGGTTGTGAATTGGCTACCGCTCCAACACTACGGCGTGCAAGACCCATATCTTTATCAACCTCATTCAACACCTCGGTATATGACAATGCCGCGTGTCAGGTGATCCACAACAGAGCACTCAGCGAGGCGTTAGAAGTAAATACTGCAGTAGGACATAGCTACTTGCCTACTATCACCGGCGATGATATTCCCCAATTGTGGTGGACTGGACTATGCTAAAGAATGTACGTGGGGAGTAAGAAGACAGTAATACGTTGGACGACAAATAAAAGGACTGTTGTCAATGTAGTTGAAGATTGAACGATCAATTCATGGTTGTTTGCTCAAACCCAACTCCTCCATATTTTTCGCGGGAGTCATCAATACGGTAGTCATCGTCTCATCGTTCGCTGTTCGCTGGAAGAGAGAAAACTATCAGAAGTATTACCGTGGTTTATTATTATAACATTTATTCCTAGACCTTGTGTAATAACATTATTGTTGGTTACATGTTGGCGTAAGAATAAAGGATTCTTGAGTCACCAATCAGTGTTCTGGTTTTTGCGTTGGTTAATACAAAGCGTTTCTCAAAGTCTTCGAGGGACAGCGTGAAGTCCAGCGTAGTAAGAATTAGACGTTGACAACTCTAGATCTGAATTTCGCACATGATTTTTGGCCGATGTTACACAATGTGAAGAACTTGCAGGCGGAATCTAGCAAATTGGCTGAAGTAGGAGAGAAGATGGGACTGCTGTTAAACATAGTCAAAACGGAGATGGTGAAGATAACCAACCATCAGCAACAATAACAAACGTCACTGATTATCATCTACTGCAGAGTTTCAACAGAGGTCACCTGCTTTACTCATTCAGCTAGGAAGCACGCTTTCAACCACAGGTAGTACGAACGGATGAACATGTCAAAGCCAGCCAGCCAGCCAGAATCCGAAAGGCAAGATATGCTCTCATCAACATGAAACCAGTAGGGCAATCTTCTGCACTAACCCAGCCAGAATGAAGGACAAGGTTCGGATTCTGTTCAACGCAAATGTGAAGTCAGTCACTGGGTGCTTCTATACGCATCAGAAACTTGCACTGTGTATCACGAAGAGGATTTCCAACAACTTGCAGACTTTCATCAACAGCTGCCATCTTCACTGGCTTCATACTGACGATCAAATGGCTGGTTGACCGGAAGGAATGAGTAACAACAAACTCTCGCTAAGTGGGAAGAGAACAACAGGTGAGAGCCGATCGTCTAACAGATATGTAGGAGAAAATGGAGATGGTTCGGACATACGTTAAGGAGGCCGTCGAATGACGTCGTGGTCAGGCTGTCGCTCGAGTAGAACCCTAATGGGAAGCGACAATTGGATCGTCACCACTAGGGTGACATGGAGGAGACCGTGTGGTGAGATGGGAGATTATAGCCATTCGTGGACCCAGCTGAAAAGGACGGTAGTGAATAGAACAAAGTGGAGATGTTTAGTTGAAGCCATGTTTTGTACTCAGAACCCAAGGGAACAATAATAATAATTCACTGGACAACTTAACCTTTTTTATAGTGTTTTGAAGATTTTCGAAAGCTGGTTTGTAGGGATTAGTTTTGTTTTTACGAGTTGGTCAAGGATTAAATCAGTTAGAGAACCATTGAAAACCAGGGTTTACTGGACAGCTTTTCAGTATGAATCAACGGAATCAACCACAATTTCCGAAAATATACATTTAAGTAAGCGTCTGGGGGAGAAGCACCTACAGAAGTATCGAAGCTATAAAAGTCTGTTCTCAGAAACAATTATAGTGGCATGTTTCAAAATGCTGTGGGTTTACGTCCCTTTGATTATAGAAATTGATCGGTTTCAGGAATTCGACTGAATCAAATTATCCATAAAAATGAATGAAGACATGTTATTTTAAAAGATATAAGTGTATAGCTGCGTCTGGGAGGATTTAAGAAAATTTGTCATTGGACAGCATGAACGCGCTTGTTTAAGTTCTTTCGAGCGGTAAACATACAACGGTGGATTTTCTCGCTTAGGATTTGATCATCGATTCTGCTTGTTATATCTTTACTGTATTTTCTTGTCGATTCAACCATCTATTTGTTTTGATACTGATTGGTTGAAATATTTATTCCTGAGCTTCCTGCTTATAATGTCTGGTCAGTCACAACGTGGAAAAATGAAGTCGATGAGGTAAGTTCGTTTATCTCACCCACAATGTGGTACAGAACACGAAATCAGCGTATGCCAATTCCTGCAAATGCTTCGCGTGCGGCACATACACAGGTATTGTTGAATAAACCAATGTGGATTCCTTAGAATTCTGACGAAAGTTTGGGGATATATGCTAATCCCGGACTCACCTACATCCTTGGACGTCACGTTATAGTAAGTATGGCTTTTAACATTTACATATGTGTAGGGAAACGTAGGAGAGATTATAACAACAGAAAATGATCGTGTTATCGGGGTCATAAAAGCTATTTCTCCTTCGGTATATCTGTTTACTCAGAGTAATTATTTCAGGCTGATTTGGGATTGACATTTGCTCAAGTTGCACAGAAGAATGACAAAGGAACTCGTAGGAATGTAACAGACAAAACTGTTTTGTGGTCTGAAATTAAGATGATTCGAATCCGCAATATAAATAAGACGGACTGCTTAGTTAGTAAGTGGGAATCTATGATTATATACCCCATTCAGATGATATAAAAACTGACAGTGAGATAGCAAAAGATTGTGCTGCTGGTAACGTTGTAGCAGATAAAGAATTGGTTCCTTTCTTCGCTTCATCAGATGGGGTTAAAGACTTTTTGCTTGATCAAGGGAGCTTCTCAGCAGTAGAAATGTTTGAAACAAATGAGAAGATGTTCTCCGTATCTTCTACCTACAACCCGGATTTACGAGAATATACGTAAGTTATAGTTTCAACTAATTCTATTTGTTAGGACACCTGTCGACCGTTCTGCTCCCAACTTCTCAGAAACTGAAGCGCGTTGTGCAAAATTGGCACAGGATATAACGGAAAATTCCTCAGGAATGGGATTAATGGATGATGAAGGCGATATTTGTATGGAAAATGAAGAGGAGAAATATAGCGCAGTTGTTCGTCCCAGTACAACTCAGAATGCGGCACGTAGTACAAAGAATAATCATCGTTTGAATTCAGCATCTCAGCCTGAGTCTACTGTTAATATCACTACCCAACTCTCTCAGGTGTGTATTCAGTCAAATAAGCCTAGTAATACTGAAGCTGTGCGAGTGAGCATTTCTGTTGGAGAGGCATTAAAGTCAGATGCTAACCCTCAAATTAATGGTGTATCCAAAGTATGCATTCAAGGTGAAAAAGATAAAACTAAACAGATCCATGATCAATCGACGGAAGTATCAACTCCTGTATGTGTGTGCACAACAGCATCATGTGTGAAAAGCAGTACAACATCAGATGCACCTGTGACATCCAGTACCAAAGTTAGTACGACAGAGGAGCGAGTAAAAAAGTCAACTCTAGACCCAAATGCTCCAGAGTTTCAGCCAATGGGATTATCTTATACCTCACATTCTGTGGCTAATATGGCTCAAACACTCCAATCAGGTTTACCACCATTTTCTGCTCAAAGCATACAAATTCCACAGCACTATGTATCCACTATGAATGTTATCTCTCAAGCTCCTCCACTACCTGGGCAGACAGCATTTATTGCTGCAGGTCAGCACATGTACGCACCTTTCCAGTATACCCATCAGGCACAGGTGCAGCAGATGTTACCTCCAGTTTGCTCCAGTGGTCCAGGCACAAATCAACAAATTAGAGGAAATTCATTGCCGCCGTCTATGAATCAACAAAGTTACACCAATCATGGTCATAACATGTTGCCTCAAATGGGGCAGGGTGTTTCTCTGGGACAGATAATTACATCCCCTCAAGTTATAAGTGGTCATAATTCTGCAGGTCGTCTTTCCGTATGTCCTTCGTCTTCCGTTAGTTTGACTCGCCAGCGTTCAAATGATTCTCCGTCTTCAGTAACTCACTGCACGTCATACGCTATCCAGCAGCCAACAATGTCTATACCTGCGTTCCAGTCACAAGCAGTCTACCAGTTACCTCAACCCAATGGTGCATTTTTTGTGTCAAGTCATCCCCAAATGGGAGTACATATCCTTTCGGGATTACCTACTGCTGTCAGTTCTGGTTTGATGGTTGGTGGTGTTCATGTCTCACAAGCTTCTAACCAGCAAGTATGTCCAACTCACACATTAATGCAGATGCAGCCTGCACACCTACAAGTCCCTGTTGGACAGTCAGATCAAGTCACTACTCCATCAACTACGCCTCAGCAAACTTCTCAATCTCAACAATTATTTCCTCAGCAGTTCCAAGAGCACTCTCACCCCATCCAAATACCTGCATACGCGAATGTCCCTGCTCAGTATCAGCATAACTTGGTATTCGCCCCACAACAGAACGCACCTGCTTTCTATCCCACAGCACCTGCAATGGTAGCAGGTCCAGGGACAGTAAGTCATGTTACTGGTCTCTCCCCAATTGTCGGTCAGCACAATCATTCTTTGAATGCTAGCATTCCACACCAATCAAACCAAACAGATTCTGCATTAATAACTTCCCAACAAATTCAACAATCACACATGATGCCCCAACCAAATTGCCAGCCCCAGCAGTTTATGCAGCACTATCCAACAGTCGCTCAAGCTCAGTTACTCCAAGCGCAACAACTCTCAGCTGCTCAACACATGGGCAATCAACATCTCCCTAACAACTACCCGTACCATGCTTTGATTGCTGCTATGGCAGCAGGAGGTGCAGCAGCTGCTCCGACTCACTAGGTATATTTGGGTTATTTGTTAGGATGTTGGTGCCGATATATACTTACCTCCGTGTTCCGACAAATTTGAATCTACCCAATGCCTTTCATTTCCGAATGCAAATCGAATGATACTTTCTGATGTTTTAGACCATATTCAGTTTGATCTTTGAAAACAGCATAGGTGTTATCGATTATTATAATCCCTCCTATTTGCCTATTTCTGCAGATCAACATCTTTAGAGTTAATGTACGAAGTATGGAACTGCAAGAAGCCTCGTCAGTTTTTCTGTTCAATTCTTGTAAAGATTGCTTGTGTGCACCATTTAGTGAATATATTCCAATATACTGAGCAAGTTCTATATTTTTTGATGAAATATTTGTTTTTAAAGTTTGCTATATGTGGAGTGAAGTTACGGTAAGCGTGTCAACTGCTATAAGATGATATTCAGGTCTGCACATTGTTAATGAGGTACCAAGTAGTTCACACACCCTCTGTTTAGAAACCATATCGTTTTTGTAAGAGGTGTGTGTGTCAGTGTGAATATTTTTCCAGGCTGTTTTCTTAACGTTAAAAGCGGTTGACTGTTACAGTATTTATCATCTAGAAATAGTTTTCCCACCTCAAAATATGAATTCGGTAGAATTTTGTGATATGGACATCCTAAACGTATTGTGCAAACTACCTTCGACAAATCTACTTACTTTATGTGCAGATATTAATGGCTGAAAGATTTTTTCAGTTGGGTAGTCATTATCATATAAGTCCCATAGAATTTACTTCAAAAAAGCACTAATTAAAGTGAATGGGGAGTTCCTCCCTATTTAATGGCTAAGTGTTTGGATGACTTCTGCAGTCCATTGATAAATACATGCAGATTTAAATTCTTGTTTTTAGCCATTTATAGATCACTGGGTAGCCTTTGTAATTGGTTTAAATTAAATTTTCATTCATATGCTAAATCAGACGACAGTGGTGTTGAATCGAGCATAATAAAGAATGTGATATGCCAAAGTATGTGAGGATTTCTTGGTGCGATCTAAGGAAATTAAAGTAGGTTAGCGATCTCAGATACTTATGAAATGTGATGAGATATCCTCGGATGAAGACCTCAGTTTGACCATAACAGTATCAAACGTTGAGTTTCATAATCACAGTAGAGTAAAATTAAAGAAATTGAACAGAATTTAAGTATGAAATCTCACATTGTTATCGTTGTTTTCATTATGTGACTGGTTGACGTGAAATATTTGGTTAGCTATCATATGTGTAGTGTTCCATAGATCATTCTGACTCGCTGTGTCCTGAAAACAGCAACTACTTTAGTACTTTTTAAACGTGTTGTCCGTTGGAAGAGCCAACTAGAGATGTTACTATGATGCTACATTTTTAAATTAATCAAAGTGAACCAATAAGGGAATAAATCTGTCTCTGTCTGGATTCAACATCGAACTTGTCACCGGAGTGCACCAGTTCGAGTTGCCACGTTCCGAATAGCACACAGAGGTAGATGTGCTAATGGACTTAACCCTAGGTGACTTCAGTGACTCAGGAATTGACTTGCTACCGGGGAATAATCTCGTTGACTTGGAATATGCAGACGATATAGTCCTTCTAGGCGAAGACGCTGACGAAATGCAGAGTCTTCTAAACACCTGGAGCCGCAATCTACGAATGTTTGGCATGCAGTTCGCTCCCGCCAAATGCAAGATGATGTTACAGGACTGGACTACATCGACGCCTAGTTTAAAAATAGGAAGTGAAGTGGTAGAGCACGTTGACCGCTTCACTTATTTGGGAAGTACCATCAGCCCCAACGGGCTGATCTCTGACGAAATCTCAGCACGAATACAGGGGGCTCGTTTCGCATTTGCCAGTTTACGCCGACTCTGGCGTAGACGAGATGTTCGACTATCGACCAAAGGGCGGGTGTACTGCTCATCAGTCCGTTCCGTCCTCCTTTATGGTTGTGAGACCTGGCCACTGAGAGTGGAAGACATGAAAAGACTAGCTGTCTTTGATCATAGGTGCCTGCGTTCTATTTCCCGTGTAAAGTGGCATAATAAGGTGAGCAACATGGAGGTTAGGCGCAGAGTTCTAGGTAAACAGGGGAAATCAATCGACGAAGTCGTGAAGTTACAAAGACTGAGATGGTTGGGATACGTGTTACGTATGCCAAGCCATCGCCTCCCTCGACGAGCAATGTTAGCGGATATAGGGTCAGGCTGGAAAAAAGCTAGCGGCGGTCAAACAAATACTTGGCACCAGTCAATGGAATCCATAACAGTTGGTCTAAGCCACGAAGGAAGGTGTAGACTTCCAGGCTGGGGTCCCCGGGACGGTAAAAATCTATGGTTGGAAACAATTGGTGACATGGCTCAAACTCATCGTTCTCAGTGGCGCAGATGCATCCACTCCCTGTGACTTATGATCTTCAATGAAACTGTTTTGTATTTCTTTATTACTCCTTTGTCTCACACCTCTGCTCACTGTCTCTGTTATGCTTTTCTTGTACTTTCTTCTCTTGCTTCGCGTGCTACACGGAATGTGGCGACTTGAACTTCCGCACATTTGTGCAAAGTTCTATGTCGAAAACAGACAGACAGACACAGAGGTAGATAAGAAGATGAGTGAAGAGAATCAATTGAGTTTGACAAGTATAGGTGAAACAGAATGGGTAATGGTAGAAAGGAATATGAAAGATTACAGAGACTGAATACATCTGCGCTGGCTATTGACAACGATTTTGAGCCATGTCACCTATTGTCTCTAGCCATTGATTCCTAGAGTCCCGAGGGCCCCAACCCGGGAGTCTGCATCTCCCTCCCTACCTGACTCAGTTTAACTGTCAAGGATTTCATGGATTGATGAGGCCATGTTTTTGTTTGGCCACCACTGGCTCTTTTCCAGCCTGCACCTATATCAGCTAGTAATGCCCGTCGGCGGGGGAGGCGATGGTTAGGCATGCGCAGCACGTGACCTAGCCATCTCAATCTATGCAACTTGATAGCCTCGTCGATTGATTTTCCCTCTTTGCCCAACACTCTACGCCTAACGTCAACATTACTTACCTTAATAAACCACCTAACGTGAGACAGAGATCGCAGACATCTATGATCGAAAGCAGTCAACCTTTTCATGTCTTCAACTCGTATTGGCCATGTTTCAGAGCCATAGAGAAGGACGGAGCGAACGTCTGAGCAGTACACACGTCCCTTGGTTGATAGCCAGCCGGATGTCACGCCTACTCCAGAGATGGTGTAAGTCAGTGAAAGCAGCTCGAGCTTTTTGGACCCGTGTTGAGATTTCGTCGCTAATCAGTCCGTTGGTGCTAATACAACTTGACCTAAGAATGGAACTTCAGTAGATTTCCGTTCCATCGTATAGCAAATTTATTTTGTAAAATCATACAGTTTTACAATATGATTTACTGTATAGTGGAATGCCATTGGTGCCCATCATCTGTTAGCATACTTTGAACCCCATATGCAGAGGCGATATCTGGCTTCATGACGAAGACCAACAGTCATAGACTTGGTGAATTCCTGCCGTATTTTGACGATTCACATTCTGTTATCGACTGGTCTACACTTCTTACTTGAAATCATTCATTCTCAACATCACTAAGCTGTATCTAATACGGTAAACTAAACGAAGGCATGTGGTAGGAAACGTCTACTCTTTACACGTTATATTTCAATTCTCAGGTTGGTGGGAACGAGCCTCCAGACATACTGAGATTTCAACTCAAAGTGCAAGCAGGGCTGCGGCTTTTTAGAACTTGAATCAGTGGAAGTGAAGCTCATCGACTTAATCACTCGTCCGCTGTCGAAAAATGGGCAGTGAGTTCAAACCCCGGGAAAGCTACTTAGCCTAGTATCGTCAGCTCATGCAACAAGGGTGGTTCGCAGTTTAGTACATAAAAATTTGTCCCAACTAATGGAGTTCTGACAACTGACTTTTTAGCAGTAGGCCAATTTATTCCCTGCTGTCAAATAAAGGCAGTACGTTTCTGAAATAAGTCTTCGCCTCAGCATTCCTAACCCCCCAAAAAACTAGTGTGTGTTATACTGCAAACGGCAACTTTCCATAAACTCATAATTACTTGAGTAGAGAGCAGAATGCTCCCCGCCAACAACCCTTTATTGTACCTTTAGAACAACGCAGTCCGGTATTTTTTATTTTATTCAGTACTACGGTAAGTCGACGTCGTTTTGTAATCGTAACCTAATTGATGTACCCTCGTATGGTCCTGAAGACGTTTTCCATAAGCCTAACTTAGTCCTCATATGACTACTGGCTCTGAAATTCGATATATCTATAGATTAGGATGATAAACGATCTTCTCTGGTTCGATCATAGAGGGATGAGCCTGATTAATATAGCGAATCTTAAGTTCTAGGTTCATTAGTCATCAGTAGATTAGGCGATGCTTGGGCGAAATATTCTGAAACACATGCATACCTACTGGTGTCCAACGCTAACCATATTTCTTGATTGTGTTGCCGTGTAAATGTATCATGTTAACGTAGAGTTGTCATTTAAAGTAATGACAGCGATTTATGTCCCTCAATGATGCCCGTTTTTATCCGATTTCATTATGGATATGACTATAATTGACTTAAGCGATGCAGGGGATTGGCTTGTTACAGGGTTACAGTCTGGTAAACTCCTTCGTGAAGTCTTCCGAACACTTTGAGCAGAAGTCTTGAGATGTTTGGCATGTTATTCGTCCCTGTCAAATGTAAGGTGATGCTACAGAACTGGTCTGCATTGAATCCCAGTTTGAAGGTAGGGAATGAAGTGAGGTGGCCTGCTGACAATTTGAGGTATCGTGCAATCGTTCCCTTCATCTTCATTTTTAAGCTGTGGGACAGTCACTGAAAATGAAAGACTTGGAGAAACTGGCTATCTGACCACATGTTAAGTGGTATACTATGGTGAAGAATATTAAGATTGATGGCTAAATCCGATGTAAGAAGTGAGACTCAACCATCGAAGCTATACACATGCATCGATTT